GCCGGTGTTATTGTGCGTAAGTATCGCTTACAGCTAGTCAGTTTTACGGAGGCATTTATCGATTTTAAACGATAAGCCCATACATTAGTCGTCGAAAATCTTATACGACGATAAGATTATATCGTGACACGCATCCTAGACCGGCTGACGTGTGGTCCGCGCGCTACTGGCTCGACATCGTGGGCGCGACCCTTTACTTTAACGAGAATTTAAAAGCATTAGCCGGTCCAATCAATTTAGTTTTTTTAAATTACCTATGTCTGTTTTATGGCTTCCATTTCATTTCAGACCATCTGCGTCATGGATTTCCGTGTGGGGCAACAGCGTCAACTCTACAGCTGGCGAAAACAAGCTGGGTAAGTTCTGCATGATTTCTTGTTCATATATTATGGTAAATAGACTGAGAAATAATACTTTTAATTAAGCCAAAAGTAAACCCGAAGCCAGAATGTTAACAATCATGTTTTTTCTTATAGATATTGGCCGATATGGACCCGTCAACTTGCCGTAGCGTTACAACAAGGATCTCTTCTATTGATCCCCGTAGCCGCATTCGTACAAACATGGCGCTACATGAACAAAGGACCCCCAGATATACTAGAGGTGAGATTCAAGGCTTGTTTGTCTCTTTCACTCAAGTTGAACCCGAAATGAGAGTGAGAGAAATGGATATTGAAATAATCACGCACATTTAAAAATCCTGCTAATTTTACTTCATGTATTTAGGCTGGTACTAACTTGTAATGCATATTTAAGATATCGCCTGGTCTGAAATCTACCTATCTCTTTCTACTTTTCTTACTTTGATTAGTTACTAGTTACTACAATATGATCTATTAGCTATTTGTTTCTAACTTTTAAATTACTAACTTAGTTGCTTGCTGTAAACTCTTTTTAATTTTATGCTGCTAGGATTTTGGAACTAGTAATTGCACGGAAGAAGTGGTAAGTTTTTATAATATTAAACTGTTATGAGTGAATGTGAGGGATTTATTGGCAAAAAATTTATAAACCTGTCACTTGTTTTAGTTGCGAACCCCGAGAGAATGTTTGCTCTAAACGCCCACTCTTACAAAGTAAATTATATTTTTAACTCTTGGGTCCCCGTCATATTAAAAAAAAAATTTAAGGCCCGGTTTCTACCAAAGCGGAGCGGATCGGAGAAGTGTTTTGAATAACTAATCAGATTTCATTATTTCCATTTCTCTTTACCGCCCCGCGCCGCCGTCAAATTTTATAGAAAAAACGTATGGCCGCTTTATCTCCGCTTTTGGTGGAAACCGGCCCTAAGTCCACCATCACCAAAGAACAATAGGCTAGTTTCCTAAAAAAAATTTTTAGTCCGTCAATTTTAATATAAAAAAATATTCGACACGTATATTTTTAATTGTCAATCAAACAAATAATTATAGTGCGTTGAAGTTCCGCGCGACATCACAAAGTGCTGCACTTTTACGCACTCTGACGTCACGGGCCTTTTTTTAGAACTTTGGCACGCTTTATCTCTTTACATTTTCATTAGTTTTAAAAAGTGAAAAATACGTGTCGAGTAGTTTTTGATAAGCTAACTGACGGACTAATTAAAAATTTAAAACTCTTGCTTTTTTACCCAGGAAACACATCCCTATTGATGTTGCCTTTAATGTTGTGATGCAAACTTAGTTTTTGTGTCCAAAGTTTACCCTAACCATCGCACGTCCCCAGCGCATCCAAAACCTATACCGGCCTCGTATGGGCGCGGACACCAGCCCGCCGCCCGTGGGGCCGCGCCCGGCCCGTGCTGCGCCCGCGCCCGATCCGCCGCCCAAATACACGCCCCCGCCTTCGTATTCTACTGCCACGGGGGCGCGCCTGCTTAATACTATTAGGAGAAGCTTCAGGACCTTGAGAAGGTAAGATTTACTTGTCAAAAAACCCCTTTCTTCTCAAAAACTCAACCCGTCTGCAAGACCTTCAAGAAACATGCCCCTCTTTGAGTAACTAAGCTGGATTTCAACTGGATCTGTAGTAGTGTTGCCGATCGATAGTCGACTATCGATAGACTATCGATAGTCTATCGATAGTCAAACTATCGCAAGACTATCGATTGGCCTATCGATAGTATCGATACTGTCGATACTATCGATACTATCGATAGCTCAAAACGAGGCAATACTATTGAATATGTGCAATACTATCGATACTATCGATAGTATTGTTGCTCGTGAAGAATAAACTATCGATAGTATCGATACTATCGATAAGAAGGTAGAGATATTTTTAAGATCATTGGCAATCCATTATCACCATTAGTTTTTTCTTAAATTGAAATCGAATTTGAATTTTTTATCGTGGTTTGTACTTTTGTTGAACTTTGGCGGCTCGTAACTAGTTATTGAATCATTATCTAGATCTGAAATTTATTTTATTTGACTAAAGGTTTATTCGATATTAGTATTAAATAAAAAAATCGGTTAAAATCATGCGAGAAAAAAAATTCAAGCAGTTTTTAGGTCAAATTTCGGGAAAATCAGAAACAAGTATAAAAATTGACATATCTCCTAAACTATAAAACTTTAGCCATAGAAAGTAAGGTTCAATAATTAGCAAATGACCTCCTCTATATGCGTATTAGCTATGGCGGGTTCAGTTCCAGTCACCCTGTATAATTCATTGTTATTGTTTTGCTATAAACATTTGAAAACTATTAAAATACGCCGCGCGCGAATCATTTCCAATGATGCCCCTTGAAACGCCGCGCTTCGCGTAAACGCTCTTAATGTTGTGATGCAAACTTAGTTTTTGTGTCCAAAGTTTACCCTAACCATCGCACGTCCCCAGCGCATCCAAAACCTATACCGGCCTCGTATGGGCGCGGACACCAGCCCGCCGCCCGTGGGGCCGCGGCCGGCCCGCGCCGCGCCCGCGCCCGATCCGCCGCCCAAATACACGCCCCCGCCTTCGTATTCTACCGCTACGGGGGCGCGCCTGCTCAATACTATTAGGAGGAGCTTCCGGACCTTGAGAAGGTAAGAATACTAGGCGTTCGTAGGAGAAAAAGGCAAGACAAGAACAATCGCGCCCGACCTGTCGCCCAAGTACGCGCCAAGCCTTCGTATTCTACCGCTACGGGGGCGCGCCTGCTCAATACTATTAGGAGGAGCTTCCGGACCTTGAGAAGGTAAGAATACTAGGCGTTCGTAGGAGAGAAAGGCAAGACAAGAACAATCGCGCCCGACCTGTCGCCCAAGTACGCGCCAAGCCTTCGTATTCTACCGCTACGGGGGCGCGCCTGCTCAATACTATTAGGAGGAGCTTCAGGACCTTGAGAAGGTAAGATTTACTTGTCAAAAAACCCCTTTCTTCTCAAAAACTCAACCCGTCTGCAAGACCTTCAAGAAACATGCCCCTCTTTGAGTAACTAAGCTGGATTTCAACTGGATCTGTAGAGATAAACTCACTCGCACTCTTTGTGGTTCGAGAAGCACCCGCATCCTCTTACTCCACTGCCACGATGGCGCGCCTGCTCCGGACCGTAAGAAGGTAAGTTTCTTTACAAGAGAAAAAGGCACACTTTCTTTCTGTCACGAAAACCATATTTCTCGAGATGGCGCTGTCCTTCTTCTTTCTTCGTCGCAACTTGAGCCAGACTGCTGAAAACAACGAGAAGCTTCCAGACGTTGAAAAGGTACGCTTGAGGTTTCCGTATATAAAAGCACATTTCGTTGTTTCTGCCAAGAAGACAGAAACGGTCGTGCACGAGTCAGCTAAAAGGTTGCGCGCGCGCCTTTTTACTGCAGCCCGCCGCCCAAATACACGCCCCCGCCTTCGTATTCTACCGCTACGGGGGCGCGCCTGCTCAATACTATTAGGAGGAGCTTCCGGACCTTGAGAAGGTAAGAGTTTCCTTATGAGAGAAGAAAGCACACTTTGTTGTCACTATTAGCCACAAAGTACACGCCTCCGGACCTTGAGAAGGTAAACAAAGCTAGATTTGAGGCTCCCATAGTGAGATACAGGCACACGTCCTTGTCAATAAGAACCCTTTTTCACGAGAACGCTGCCCAAGTACACGCCCCCGCCTTCGTATTCCACTGCTACGGGGGCGCGCCTGCTCAATACTATTAGGAGCTTCCGGACCTTGAGAAGGTAAGCAAAGCTAGATTTTAGGCTCCCATAGTGAGATACAGGCACACTTCCTTGTCCTTGTCAATAAGAACCCTTATTCACGAGAACGCCCGCGCCCGATCCGCCGCCCAAGTACACGCCCCCGCCTTCGTATTCTACTGCTACGGGGGCGCGCCTGCTCAATACTATTAGGAGGAGCTTCCGGACCTTGAGAAGGTAAGCCCTAGTGAAAAAGGCACACTTGGTTCTCTCCGTAAGGAAGACGCTTCTTTTCATGAACGGCTTCATCCTTCTTTGTCGTCGCCGTAGGGGGCTCGTCTGCTCAACATCATCAGAAGGAGCTTTCGGGCCTTGAGAAGGTGAGCCTATTTGTAAAAAAAACCCTTTTCTCAAGAACATCCTTATTCTCTCCCGTCCCGTTGTTACCACGAGAACCCGCTTGCTCAGACCTTCAGGAAAAGCTGCCGCCCTTTGAGAAGCTAAGCTGGATTTCAACTGGATTTGTAGAGGTAAAGGCACTCTGTGGTTCGAGAAGTTCCCTTTTTCCCAAGAACGTCTGCGCCCGATCCGCCGCCCAAATACACGCCCCCGCCTTCGTATTCTACCGCTACGGGGGCGCGCCTGCTCAATACTATTAGGAGAAGCTTCCGGACCTTGAGAAGTTAAGAATTATTTACTTTCCGTATAATGGTACACTGCCTTATCTCCCACGCACGTCGCAACCAGAAAGTATACGCCCCCTTTTAGTTACTCCCGGGCGCTCAACACTATTATTACCTTTCGGAGCTTGTGGTAAGCAGACTGGACTTTGATAACACGAAAAAGACACTAGGATCACTTCGTTTTCTCTGTAAAGAAGACACTTCAAAAACAGCCTCGCCGTCTTCTGTTCGTTTTCATCTGGAACCTATCTGCTCAACATCATCACGAGAAACTCTTCAAAGCTAGATTTTAAGAGTCCGCTATACTTCGCAGTTCCAAAATATGTACTACTTTTTTATTTAAGAACAGCCTCGCCTTCTCCGTCGCTACTTGAGCCAGACTGATCAGAGATAGAACCACGGAGGTCTAAGATATCTTCAAGCTATAAAGAATAAAAAACCATGTATAGAACAAAATGTACAGCCATTTATAGCGCATATAGTAAACCAAAAATTATTTTCAGAATAACCTCATCCCACACTCAATCACTAACTGAAGACACATCACAAATACCGATCACGCTGAGCGAGAGCGTAGACCGCGAGCGGCACATCTCGTTGGAATCCCAGCCGCCGGAATACAGCGGGGTCTTCGCCGCGCCTTCCATTACCATCACCGATGAAACCGACTCCCGGAACAGTCGGCCTCGCTCGTCGACGTCCAGGAACTCTTTATCTCTAACTAGAGACTACCTCAGACGGTCGTTCGTTCGGAAGAGCGACTCAGCTAAAAGTATTCGCTCGAGTCTCCGCCGCAGTTTTAAGTTCGGGCAACTGTCCGGCAGCCACGAGCGATTGGTTCGCGCGGCAGAACCTATGTCAAGCACGCTTGCCATGTCAACGGTGCTTGACGCGTCGGAACCTCATGCGCGAAGCCGCGCCTCTGTCATATAATAGGGATGTAGACATCGCTTTTTATGAACTACCTACCTTAATGTTTTTTTTGTAAATATTCCGTCAGCTATTATCTCCGAAGTAGTAAGTAGTTTAATTTTAGCACTTTAATGTTTTTAAATGCCCTTAAGGTGTCAAATATTTTGGAATTTTATGAACGGTGTTCTCATCCCTATTATAATTATTATTAAACACGAATTTTGTTAATGTGATCCAGCATTTTAGATATTATTAAACATTTTTACAGCGATGATATCTCGAAATTAATAGTGAATGGTCATATTGCCTATTCCTGAACCGCCTGTGAGGCATCACAACCATATTTTTATATTATTTTTGTGTGTAAACACATACTAGTTTTTAAGCGAGTCTAATGATGCTTTTTGTTGTATAGTCGAGAGTTACGAAGGTATGACCCGGGATTAGAGTACACGTAGATTAAATGTGTGAATTATTTTTGGTCCTGACTATACATAATATGATTTACAGCCGGTTTAGTACTGTCGACGTATCCAAATGATTTATTGACACAATAATAAAGACATGCAGATGTTTTTAGTGCCCAAAATTTAACTGCTGCAGCATGCTGAGGATACGAATAATATATTTCAAGCCGACTGTATGTTGAACTTTTAACTTAACTGTAGGTACTTAATAATAATAATGAATCAGACAATAGTCTTTCGTAATTATCTTAAACCAGAATCTCAGAATCTTCACTATTTTACTAATGTGTTATTTTCGTTTTTTTTTGTAAGCACAATCGTGAGCCATGTAGATAGTTTTACAATGAAATATACCTTACGATTAGAAATTTAATCACTTAATGATGTATACTTAATGAATTTGATAATAAATACAGAGCTTAGATGTGTTTAAGATTTTTAATTAATATTGAAGTTGTGAAGCCATCGTTATAAGTATTAAAATCAGACTAGAAATGTGTTCTCGTTAGATTAAGTTAAGTGAAATATATTTTCTAAATTGCATAGACGATTGTCGTTGACTGAACTCAATATGAATGTCAGTGTGTTTGTTGAATGCGCAGTTTGTTTTATTGATGTGGCGAATAATTTCTAAATTTTAATTTGTAATGATCTGTTTTAATTAAATTGATTCATTTAACATCACAATCTTATTAAGTTTTAGTATTAATACCTTTAAGATGTTCGATTGGTAATCCGTTTAGTGATATGCATGCCACTTGTGTGATTCGCCACTAGAAAATCAGACTCATTTATTTCGTAAATGTGATGCATGACTATCGATTGTACGTATTAATTAGAACTAGTTTATTTTGTCACTATCGAAGTTCAAATAACAATAACCAATATTACAAGTTGTTACGTACTTAATTGAATTATTTTAGCAAATATAATTTTAAAGGTTGTGATTTGTTTTTTTACTAACAAAATATAATATGTACGATAGTTTTTCATCATTGATCGATAGTTGTGTAAAAGACATAAACTAGGGTATAATTTTTGTTCAGTGTAAAGTACAATGAAGTTAGATTAGTTTAACACTTTGGTTGTTCAATAATTATATGGCAGCTTAATTAAGTTCCTTCACGCATTTAAAAATTATATTAAATTGTGTTCGTTGAAATTTGGTTTTAGCTCTAGTCACTACACATTCTTCCATGCATCAGTTTTATTAATCATCACAATTTTGTCTACATTTTATTTAAGTATTATGAAATTTATAGCACATTTTTATCGCACTATTAATTTTAATTTCTTTATTATACATTTAATTTTGCTTGTTCTTTATACATTCCACATTGTTGCAATATTAACGAATTAGATAAGTAATAAAAATCTTTTTACGTCATACATTAGTTTCATTTCAAATCACGTTTTGTTTGTATGGGTATACTATTCTTGTTGTTTTTAAAAATATGTTTTACGCGAATTAATAGAAATTAATATTTAAATATCAAATACTTTATTAGATCAAAGACAAGGTTACAATAAAATCAAAATTCATTTCATACTTAAATGTAGAAAGTGTTCACAATAAAATGAGGTAAGAGGCGCATAATAGTTTTACAAAGTACTTAAAACAAAGAAGCCGAGGTGATGAAATGTTGTCAAATAAATAAGCTAAAGGTAATCAAAGATAAGAAGAAAACGAAACACGAAAGTCAGAAAAAGCCGGACTCGAGAAAAGAAACTAAACGTCGCGATCCACATTTTACAACCTCAACTTCTCACGCTCGTCTAAAACATAAGATGATCTAAATATCTTCCCAAATACCGCGCGTCACGTAAATCTACACTTTATCAAAACAGCGTCAAATTGAATAGAACCGAAATTAATATGATGTCATGATTACATAGAATTAAGTTTTAGATTAATCACAGAGATTTGAAAAACATACAACAATAGACATTGATAGATAAAATATCTAAATTGTTGACAAAACCAACAGTGGTTAGTTAAAAACTAGCTTACTAACAATAATTGTAAAGATCACATTATTATTTCAGTCATTCTAGTTCACCTAGCAGTCAAGCATTAATTAATGACATTCAATTAGTTTTACCTAATCAATGAATTGAGATTTAGTAATGACTTAGCTGCTTTAGAGTCGGTGGGTTCCTTCTTTTTCGCGGGATCCAACATGAAGCATTTCCAAAGGCTGAAACAAGACATTTCTTATTAAGGTCGGATTACTTTTTTAGGGTTCTAGTTTTAATGATTTAGTATCCTTAGTACAACACTAGTTCCGTCGGGCGATGAGCTCCGTCATGCCATTTTCAGCCGTATGACTTCAACAATAGGGTTCAAACTCACCGCAAGTCTCATCAGCGCCGGCAGACAATACTGTAGTACCATCAGGCGACAGTGCGAGGTGTAGTACGCGCGCCATGTGGCCTGTTAGCTTCGTCATGCCATTTCCGACCGTATGACATGGACGATAGGGTTCAAACTCACCGCAAGGTCTCGTCGGCGCCGGCAGACAATACTGTAGTACCATCAGGCGACAGTGCTAAGTGTAACACCCGCGCCATGTAGCCCGTTAGCTTCGTCATGCCATTTCCAACCGTAAGACATGAACAATAGGGTTCAAACTCACCGCAAGGTCTCATCAGCGCCGGCAGACAATACTGTAGTACCATCAGGCGACAGTGCTAAGTGTAGTACGCGCGCCATATGGCCCGTTAGCTTCGTCATGCCATTTCCGACCGTATGACATGAACAATAGGGTTCAAACTCACCGCAAGGTCTCGTCGGCGCCAGCAGACAATACTGTAGTACCATTAGGCGACAGTGCGAGGTGTAGTACGCGCGCCATGTGGCCCGTTAGCTTCGTCATGCCATTTCCGACCGTATGACATGAACAATAGGGTTCCGCCATGTGGCTGGTGAGCTTCGTCATGCCATATCCGACCGTATAACATGATTTATAAGGCTCAAACTCACCGCAAGGTCTCGTCGGCGCCAGCAGACAATACTGTAGTACCATCAGGCGACAGTGCAAGGTGTAGTACGCACGCCATATGGCCCGTTAGCTTCGTCATACCATTTCCGACCGTATGACATGGACGATAGGGTTCAAACTCACCGCAAGGTCTCGTCGGCGCCAGCAGACAATACTGTAGTACCATCAAGCGACAGTGCGAGGTGTAGTACGCGCGCCATATGGCCCGTTAGCTTCGTCATGCCATTTCCAGCCGTATGACATGAAGAATAGGGTTCAACTCACCGCAAGGTCTCGTCGGCGCCGGCGGACAGTACTGTAGTTCCGTCCGGTGATAGTGCAAGATGTAATACGCGCTCAATATGGCCCGTTATCTTCGTCATGCCATTTCCGACCGTATGACATGAACAATAGGGTTCCGCCATGTGGCTGGTGAGCTTCGTCATGCCATTTCCTTTAGCCGTATGACTTGAATAATAGGGTTCAAACTCACCGCAAGGTCTCGTCGGCGCCAGCAGACAATACTGTAGTACCATCAGGCGACAGCGCGAGGTGTAGTACGCGCGCCATGTGGCCGGTAAGCTTCGTCATGCCATTTCCGACCGTATGACATGGACGATAGGGTTCAAACTCACCGCAAGGTCTCATCAGCGCCAGCAGACAATACTGTAGTACCATCAGGCGACAGTGCGAGGTGTAGTACGCACGCCATATGGCCCGTTAGCTTCGTCATGCCATTTCCAGCCGTATGACATGAGCAATAAGGTTCTAACTCACCGCAAGGTGTCGTCGGCGCTGGCGGACAATACTGCAGTACCATCAGGCGACAGCGAGGTTGTAGTACGCGCGCCATGTGGCCGTAAGCTTCGTCATGCCATTTCCGACCGTATGACATGAACAATAGGGTTCAAACTCACCGCAAGGTCTCGTCGGCGCCAGCAGATAATACTGTAGTACCATCAGGCGACAGTGCGAGGTATAGTACGCGCGCCATATGGCCCGTTAGCTTCGTCATGCCATTTCCAACCGTAAGACATGAACAATAGGGTTCAAACTCACCGCAAGGTCTCATCAGCGCCGGCAGACAATACTGTAGTTACCGTCGGGCGATAGTGCGAGGTATATTACGCGCGCCATGTGGCGGTAAGCTTCGTCATGCTATTTCCAGCCGTATGCTTTCAACAATAGGGTTCAAACTCACCGCAAAGTCTCGTCGGCGCCAGCAGACAATACTGTAGTACTATCAGGCGACAGTGCGAGGTGTAATACGCGCTCAATATGGCCCATTATCTTCGTCATGCCATTTCCAGCCGCTTGACGTGAACAATAGGGTTCCGCCATGTGGCCGGTGAGCTTCGTCATGCTATTTCCGACTGTATGACATGGACAATAGGGTTCAACTCACCGCAAGGTCTCGTCGGCGCCAGCAGACAATACTGTAGTACCATCAGGCGACAGTGCTAAGTGTAGTACGCGCGCCATATGGCCGGTGAGCTCGGCCACTCGAGACATAAGCGGGTACTTCCAGATGACGAGTTGGTTGTTCGCGTAGCCGTGGCCCGAGATTAGTTCCTTGTAGTGCGTGCTCCAGACTATTGAGCACACCTGAGGAAGATAACAAGTTGGAATATAGTCTCGTTTCGTGTATATTTCAAAACTAAGGAAATGACCTAAGTACAGGCAGGGCCCAGTGGCGGGGCAAGACCTAAATTTGATGTGGGCAAGACAGATTTCGCGAGGCCTTGTTCTGTGGCGACCTGAAGACGGATTTTATGAAATAATAAAAAAAAACGGGTCAATGGTCTATTCATTGACAGTTTCTGATTTCTTGATTCAGTGATTATTTTTAAAGGAATTTTGCGCCAAAGCATAATGTTTGTCACTTAAAACCGTGTTGTTGCTTAATTTTGTGTCTGATTATGGCTGAATTTGTTTGGAAAAAAAAATTAACTACATTGTTTAGCTATCAATAATTTATATTTAATAGTCAATGTCTATTCGCGCATCGCTTGCAGATGGACGTGCCATTTGCTATTATTGTTTAACCCTCCGTGTACGAGGTGACTAAAAGTTACGTCCCGTACCAGGTGGGGTATGACACACCCCAATATACAAAGTGATAAAATTTTCATTCGGGCCGGGGGCGTGGGGGCGCCCCCGCCTGCACTGCACAGGTCACCACCACCGTCGGACGGGAACAGCTGTGTGCTTCCAGCTGTTCCTGTCGCCCCCCGTCCTGGGGGGCTTGTAGGGCCCGCCATGTAGGCGGGCAATCGCCGGGAGGGGCTGTGGTAGAGAAGGCTTTGTCCGGAAACCCACAGTCTCCTCCCACTTATGGCGAGTGACGGAGCACCGGGGTCTTTTTAGTGGGTATGCCTCGTCCTTCTGACGTGGTGAGCCCCACATAACGTACACACACAAATAAAAAATGCGTTGAATCGCATACCTACCCTGCGGGGACAGGGTAGGTATGCGATTCAACGCATTTTTTCCCCGTAAAAAAAAAAAAAAAAAGGCCTGTTCATCTCCGCGAGTTTACATCGAAAACAAAACACGCACGATTGCCCCCTACAAGAGTACTATTCGACAAGGCCTCACTATTACTTTTCTCTATGGCCTCACATACGAGCGAACATTGACTCACGCACGCGTATTCTTGTGTATGATGGAAAAATATAAAGAAAATGGTGTACTAAATACTGTGCAGTATTTAACTGCCTAAATAATAATAAAAACACAGAATGTACTTTTTTAAGTTGCCTCAAGACACTGAGAGGTAAATAAGTAGTTAATATTATTCATGATAATTCATGCTAAATCATGTATTTCCTCCGCCATTTACTGTAGATTGGCACCACTCTCTAATCTGTGATTTGGCACCTCACGTCACATCATTTTACCGAAGTCAGCCCTATAGCTTCGGCGCAGTACCGATCACTGACGTTTGTCAACAAAACTTCCGACAAACTTGCTTGACTCTTGAGACAAGCAAAATAACACCATATTGTTAATGACATTGAGCATACATTTTTTTAAATACCTTTGCGAAGTAAAACTTCTGTACGTAGTACTTATTATTATTCTGTGGTTGTATCGACCGAAGAAATCCAGAAATGGATATCCTCCATTGAGAAATGCCTTAACAACATATGCTATACATCAGGAGAAGGTAAACTGAACACAGAACAGAAGCTGAGAATCAGCAACACAAGCAGAAACGTGTTGGGTGGTGTCTCTCAATTGGCTGTGCAATATCAGTCACTAAAACAGAAATATATCTCAGACCAATCAATGATCAAAACATTAATTGATCAAAAGGAGTCATCTACCGCACTAGGAGATCAGATCGAGGACCTAAAAGTATCTATTCGCTCTACCCCAAAGGATGAACAACCGAATGTATCTTTTGCCGACGTGCTGAGAACCAGTAAGAGCTCTATAGTAAGACCACCAAGCACCAGTAACATTGCTATTTACCCAGCTAGCAAAGATAAGACCAGTGAAGNAGGTATTTTCAAAGATGCTTATTATTTTTCATACAGATAGACAATTTGAAAGAAGTACTGGCTACCAGTGCCGGTGGTTATCAAAATGCTCACATTGATCAGTCGATCGCCGATCGGTACGCGCATAAAAAATATTAACATGAAAAAGCAAATTACTTAATTTAATTTAACGTAGAGCAGGTCAACGCTCATGAATATCTTCAAGATAAATAGTCCCTAATTTATATGGACTGAACCAACGCTAACCCCTTTGTTGTCGGAAGTGGAGTAATATAATAATTAGTCTAGCTAAAGTTACCAGAGCTAAGTTAGAGCCGGCATCCATCGCGCGGCTGCTTGACTGCGAGCTGCATGGAACGCTGTAAAAATACACCCTGAGACTAGCGAGCAAACCAAACTGTGGCGAAAATATAACGTTGTTGCCTTAAAATGGGCTGACTACATTGTAATTCCCTGGACAAAAAATGGTCTTATTATTGAATGCGGTCAATACACTCTGAGTCATAATGAATACCTACCTTTACCTACATAAATTCAGTAAGTACGATTTTTGACAGTATTATTATTTGTTGATAAAACATTGATGATGTCGATGTAATGTTGAGATTAAAATTTAACGCTTTTGTGATCCTTTCACGACAGGAACCTCTAATTTACATTTCGGTGAATCTCTTTCGATATCAAAGTCAAGTCACAAATTCTGATATAATTACAAGGAAACAAAATATCAAATATAAGATTACTTTGAGCACAAAACACTTTGAGTGATTGTGAAATGAACCAATAAACGAGATTCACATCTAAATAGATGGCATTGAAAATGTTTTAATAAAGAGAATTAGGTACCTACGAAAATGTTTTAATTAGGTACCTACCTAACAGATAACATCACGAGAAATACACAGAAACCACACAATACCACACACACACCACCAAGCACCAGTAACATTGCTATTTACCCAGCTAGCAAAGATAAGACCAGTGAAGAGACTAAGAAACTTATTCAGACCATCATCAAGCCGGAAGAATTAAAACTGCATATCCGAGGGATGAGAAAAACCAGAGGTGGGGGTATTATAATCAGCGCTGAAGGCAAAGATGACCTTGAAAAATTGAAAAAATCAGAACTGCTGAAAACATCNTAAAAAGTTAATTATATAATATCCGTTTACCTGCGATTTGGTGTCGACGGTGTTGAGGTTGGCGCCGGTGTTGACGTTCCAGATGCGGATGGTGCGGTCCGCCGTGCCGCCGCCCGAAGCCAGCACGCCCGCGCTCCACGGACACCAGGCTAGGCCCTTCACGGCCGCCAGGTGCTGGCTGGAAACGACAATGGTTGGTTATAGCATAATAGCAGGCCTGTTCATCTCCGCGAGTTTACATAGAAAACAAAACACGCACGATGTCCCACCTACACTACAGGATACTATTCGACAAGGCCTCACATACGAGCGAACATTGACTGACGCACGCGTATTCTTGTGTATGATGGAAGAAAATAAAGAAAATGGTGTACTAAATACTGTGCAGTATTTAACTGCCTAAAAAATAATAAAAACACTGAATCCTGCTAAATCATGTATTTCCTCCGCCATTTTCCGCAGTTTGGCACCTCACGTCACATCATTTTACAGAAGCTTCGGCGCAGTGCCGATCACTGACGTTTGTCAACAAAATGGTGCTTGACTCTTGAGACAGGCTAAATTACACCATATTGTTAATGACATTGAGCATACATTTTTTTAAATACGTTCGCGAAGTAGTACTTATTATTATTCTGTGATAATAGCTCCGAGTGCCAAGCATCAGGGGGTGACAACAGTCACGCAGATTAGTACTCACTGGCACATCTGCATGACAAGGACGTACGCCGCCACTGACTGACAAGATACGACTAACAATATAAGCATTTAAGTTATACGGCGCTTGATATACTAGCACCTAACAGCCCCATGGGCACCATGCCAGCCCCTTGGTGGAGGTGCTGGCTGGAAACATAATTATTGATTAGATAGGTAGGTAGGATTACACATTTGGTTAAAGGTCGAAGCGGGGTAATATCAGAGTAAATACAAAATTCGGCGCAACTCCCCGCTAATCCACGCTAAATTTTGTCAGTGTGTGCGTGCGCGCCGCATACGTATTGGCGCGCTCACATACAAACGGCAAAGATTATTTATGGCAACGAGTAAAGAGTAAAAAGAGATGTGGGGCAGTAAAGTGCCGCCGCCCGACGCCAGCACGCCCGCGCTTCACGGGCACCAGGCTAGTCCCTTTACGGCCGCTAGGTGCTGGCTGGAATGATGATGGTTACTTATAGCAACGAGATAAAGACGCATTTGGAAAACTAGGTAACCATTTACAATGGCTCCATGGGCACCAGGCTAGCATCTTGACGGCGGCTAGATGCTAAAATAAGATCGCCGAGCACGTGAATTTCGTCCAATGACTCCGAGCTACCCATCCTTACCGCTCGCACGTAATTATATTGCTGTCGCGCTCGCACACTCACTGCGGCCGCCCGTCGCACAGTCGCGACAGCAACATAATTACGCGCAAGCGATAAGGATGGGTAGCTTGGGGTCATTGGACGAAATTCTACGTGCTCAGCGACCGGACTATAGCTGCAATCACAATGATTACTTAAGGCAGAGAGATAGAGATATGGGGTATTAAAGAAAGTGCCGCCGCTCGACGCCAGCACGCCCGCGCTCCAGGGACACCAGGCTAGCCCCTTCACGGCCGCCAGGTGCTGGCTGCAACGATGGTGGTTACTTATACCAACGAGAATGGAAAGGGAAACTAGATAACCATTTGAGCGGCGCGTCATTTACAATGGCTCCACGGGCACCAGGCTAGCATCTAGACGGCGGCTAGATGCTAAAGTAAGGTCGCCGAGCACGTAGAATTTCGTGCGCGGCGCTCGCACACTCACTGCGGGCGCCTGTCGCACAGTCGCGACAGCAACATAATTACACGCAAGCGATAGGGATGGGTAGCTTGGGGTCATTGGACGAAATTCTACGTGCTCAGCGACCGGACTATAGCTGAAACAGCGTTGCCAGACGTCCCGATTTTGGCGGGTCGTCCCGATTTTTTAATCAAATTTAAATGTCCCGCGCGGGACAGGCTCTGTCCCGCTTTTCGGAGAGAGACACACTTCACCAGACTATTGTTTGAAACGCCATATTATTCTAAAGAATAATTTTTTTGTTTCGATTTTTGTTTTTTTTTTCTTTTTTTATTCTAAAGACGAATTTAACGATAGAGTAAATCTGATTCAAAATATTATTTTTTTGTTAAAATAGGTACATTTTCTATGGCTACTTTTGCTATCTATTGTCACGGAAACGTAATTTTAAGTCAAATAAAAGGATAAATATTTGAAAACCTTTGATTATATACGTTTTTTTACTATGTCCCGCTTCTGACGGAAGAATCCCGCTATTTTCACTCAAAAAGTACCAAAGTCCCGACTTGGCGAAAAAAAAAACTGGCAACGCTGAGCTGAAATCACAATGATTACTTAAGGCAAAGAGATAGAGATATGGGGTATTAAAGTGCCGCCGCTCGACGCCAGCACGCCCGCGCTCCACGGGCACCAGGCTAGCCCCTTCACGGCCGCCAGGTGCTGGTTGCAATGATTATGTATGGCAATAGGTAAAGATATGGAATATGGATTATATGGAATGGCAATAAACGTTCAGACTTTATCCAAGCGGCGTGTCACGTCACTTATTATGACTGGCTGGTAATATCACACTTTTAGCAACGAGATAAAGGTAGGGAGCTATATCCATTTGGGTGAAGTATTTGAGCAGTGCGACGACGTGTCGCACTGCTCAAATACTTAATAAGTGACGACTTATTATGCAATAATATCACGGGCACTACACGAAAGCTCGGTGCGGGCTGCGGTCACACGCGCTTACTTTAGGCAACAAGGTAAGACAGAGTAAGAGGCAACACCTGTTTGGTTTAATCCTTTTTTTTATCTCAGGTAGTAGTCTCTGTCCATACCTACTGGGAGAGAAGCCAGCAATTTATGACTCACTAAAAACTTGGTGTGTTCTCTTTGCTGCTTTGTGGTCGACTATTTGAGCAAAATTATCGCTTTCCATTGACGGTGGTGATGAGATAAGTGGTTAATTAAAGGGGAGGGAGAGATGAAAATTGTGTTTTATGCAGTTACTTACTTGAAAGAGTACAGGTACTGTGGCTGGGAATAGTGCTGCCCTTGGACTATTGGCCAGATGTTAAGCAGGTTATCATTTCCACCAGATGCCAGATATCGACCGTCAGGCGACCATTTCAAGCCGCAAATCTGTAAATAATTTAGTTTAATTTATTTACATGTTACGCTCCAAGACCGAAAACGCTTATGAAGCGAAAAAAGTTTACAATTCATTGTGGTTGCTGTAAAACTTCCACATTGCGAACCTTACATTGTTCTTTCCACTTAGACCACAGAGACGGTTGTTCTTTCTTCAGTAATCCTAACTCAGACGTGGATTCAGTAAAGCACGATGGGCATGCGTTATCCAACGACTATGACGGAGACAGGACGATGATATTTTTACTGTCGGTTGGCTGTGAAGTGACTACAATCTTTTTTGAGGACAAGATCGGCGCCTGCCCCAATTAATTTTTAAGCCTTTACCTCGTATTTCGAACTTTAGTAAAATTCATTTATTTTTGCAAATAGGCTTTTAAAAGCACTTTTACACATACCAGTATTAACCCTACCACTGCTTCGAGACAATAAATGGGCCAGTGCTGAGAAGAAGCAGCGCAAGAAACTCATGCCCGTATTCACAAACGATGCTTGCTTAAGTGAAGCAGAAAATCGAACGCACAGCGTTGAATAGAGCTCTGTCGCCCGTATTCACAAACGATGCTTGCTTAAGTGAAGCAGTAAATCGGATGCACAGCTTGTGGCACAGCGTTGAATAGAGCTCTGTGATTGATTAGTTTGTCACCCTGTGCGTCCACGCCCACTGTGAGACCTCATAGTAATGTTTATGAATACGGGCGTGTGATTGGACCCTGTGCGTCCACGCCCACTGTGAGACCTCATAGTAATGTTTGTGAATACGGGTGTTAGTCACTTTTGTTAGTGAGATAACATAAGGTTCAAATGTTCAATTTGTTGGCCGTTTGGTGTAGTGGTTCGGATCCTGGGTTCGATTCCCGGCCGGGCAGAAATTGAAATGATGAATTTGAATTTGTGACGGGTCTGGGTGTGACTATGTATAATATGAATGTATTAAAAAAAGTATTTAAGTATATTTATCCGTTGTCTAGTACCCATAGTACAAGCTTTGCTTAGTTTGGGACTAGAAGCGTAGTGTAAAATGTCCAAGGATATTTATTATTATTTATTTATTATTAACCCGCTTACCTCTTGCGAGTGCGCGGCGAGCGTGGCGACGGCGTGGTCGCGCTGTCGCACGTCGTGGTGCACGATGTTCCCGTCGCGCGCGCCCGACGACACGATGTACATGTTCCAAGCCAGCGAGCCCACGCGCCCCGTGTGCCCGTCCATTACCTGGAATGAGGATATTGGTGTATGATGCTTTGGTGGCGTAGATTGGGTTGGCACCCTGGGCGATCCCCATATTCCCCCCTCCGTCATAAGTGCATAATTTAAGTTGGGTATACATATTATAGCGGGGGGCTAAGGGGCACCCCAGAATGGTCTGGTGACCCCCAGGAGTTTTGTATTGATTCGAAGATGATGAGATCGAGAAGATGTTGGTGTGGATGTTGGATCAAATGAGCTATATGATACCAATAGGGATGTTTCCTGGGTCAAAAAGCAAGAGTTTTAATTAGTCCGTCAGTTAACTTATCAAAAAATACTCTACACGTATTTTTCACTTTTTCAAACTAATGAAAATTTAAAGAGATAAAGCGCGCCAAAGTTCATAAGAAGAGGCTATACGTGCATAAAAGTGCCACACGTTGTGACGTCGTGCGGAACTTCAACGCACCATAACTATGTAATTATTTGTTAGATTGACAAATAAAAATATGTGTCCAATATCTTTTGATATTAAACACGACGGACTAAAAAAATTTTTTTAGGAAACTAGCCTATTGCACTAATTTGTGCGACTGTTGTGACCAGGGGGTGACTGCTTGGGGCATTATGTTATTCTGGGTTATAAACAATAATACTGTAAAGTTTCATCAAAAGTTCCCTCCAGTAGTTTTTGCGTAAAAGAGTAACAAACATCCAGCCATCTAAACTTTTGCATTTATAATGTTATTAAGATGTAGAATAAACGTATCTTTCTTTCTTTCTAGAATGCTTTTAGAAAATTAAGGCTACTCACCCTCAATCTTTTGATCCTCTCACAATCCCACAACTCGACAGTGGCAGACGAGGTTCCCACAGCAAGATGGGAGCCACCACCTTGAACCCAGCCCACAGAGCAGACGGTTTCAGAGCCTTCTAGAGTGAGGAGTTGCTCAATTTGCCCCGTTCCAGCGTTCCATAAGTACACTGAGCTTCCTAGAGCTACTGCTAGAATGTTGGACGCACTCCAATCTACTAGATTTAGATCTGTGAACAAAGAAGTTGGTATAAACAACACTATGATGGAACTTTCTGACATTTAATCTTGGTTATTGACCATAACATGAATCGATAACATTAATCAATCAACACTCAATTTGGCTGATCAAATCTTTATAAGGCCTTATTTATGGGTATTCAGAAAGTCACAAGTCTAGAGTAAGTTCAGAAAAAGCTCTGCTTAACTAAATATGGGTATTTTGCATAAATATGAATAAATAAAGAGCTTACAATAATCGTCCAAAATGTCCGGTGCATCCAAAATCCTGTCAGGAGCTTGAGGTATGTATCTTGTTGTATTTTTCACTGATGATGGAACTTTAGCCTGCAAATTGTTCACATTTAAGACAATGACACTGAAAAGCATTTACAATAATGAATTTTCAACTAAAATCAAATTGCTTTTGCATAAAATATTAGTTTATGTAACCTGAAAACACCAATGACAAAAATCTATATATATAAAAGAAAGTCGTGTTAGTTACTTCGCTTATAACTCAAGAACGGCTGAACTGATTTAGCTGAAAATTGTCTGGGAGGTAGTTTAGAGCCAGGAGAAGGACATAGGATACTTTTTATCCCGTTCGAAACAAAAAAAAAAGTCTGCTTATTTATTGCCATTAAGGCGGAACAAAGTTCGCCGGGTCAGCTAGTTTATTATAAAACAAAGTATGTAAACGATATGGTGAGAGTATTTTACATGAAGATTAGTAATGAATAAAAGCAGCCAGCGTTTAGCGTTTGATACCTGTGAATACACTACTCTTAGTCTGTTCTGGTAGCCCTCCGGAGCGGCAGGGGCCTTACAGGTATACTGCAGGAGTCTCCCCGGCTCTGTGTCAGTGAGAGCCCTACCGATGGCTTCACCGGCAGCCGTCTGCGCTACTACCTCTTCCCCTTTGTCTTCTTCGCGGCTCATCTGAAAGAGATAAATGCATTTATGTTAACAGAAGTAAAATGTGTATTGATATGGAGCATGCTACAGCATAAAATCAACAAGACACTCAAATTTTTCAATAAAACATTGAATTTTTTTATGATGACAAACAGTTACTCTGATATTTCCTGCAGATTCACTGAATATTTAGTAGCAAATGGAAGAACTATTGATTAGAAACTCAGTGAAAAGATTTGTTCCAATATCTCACTTACCATATAGTGGCACAAATCATAGTTGGAGTTACTTCGGGATGGAATGAATCGGTCAGCTTTGTTAGGGGTCTTGGAGGCTTTGTTTGGTGTGGGAGTGGTGGAGCGACCTGTCGAATAATAAGAGATACCTATATAACTGTTATAAAATAAATGACACTTGAATTTTATTGACACATGGTCATATTAATAAAGTAAATAAATAGTGAATTTAACCTTACCTGGGCTCTTTGTCTTAGAGGGTGTTTTCTTTCCTTTTTTGTTTTCATTTCGTGTTGGAGTTTTATTACTGGAGAGTACACTATTGTTACAACTTTGGTTGGCGGATATCGACAACTTTTGCATCGACTGGTTGCATGTACTGAGGTTGATANTTCATAAGAAGAGGCCCGTGATGTCTATACGTGCATAAAAGTGCCGCACGTTGTGACGTCGTGCGGAACTTCAACGCACCATAACTATATAATTATTTGTTAGATTGACAAATAAAAATATACAGTCGTGGTCAACTAATTAGGGACGTTATATGACTAAAACACAAGACCGTCTCTCCAGTCCCAAAAAAAAATCTTCACGAGGCTTTGTAGCTTGTGCCTATTAATAACAAGTAATTTGGCTAGTATTCTAAATATTTAAAGGCCAGAAAAGAAACTAGCTAGTTGCGATCAATATTTTTAAAATAAATAAATCATTGCCACCTACACATTTATTGACCTAGGGATGGACAACTAATTAGGGACACGTAACACTTTCACTGTAAATGTAAATAAATTGGAAATTATTTAAGAGCGTTGTCACATTTTTCATGCAGAAATCGAGAATTTGGCAAATTTCGAAATGATTTTAGTCATATAATTTATTGTTATAGCTTCTTTTGACTTATATCATCGTAATTATCATACGTTTTTACGGAATGTCTATTGACAACATCTCGTTCAAATTGGATTTTTGCCTACGAAAACAGCGAATTTCGAAAGCCCGATTTCCAGGTAACTCGCGAAGGCACAACTTTGAACTAATATTACAACAAATTTATTTCTAAGTAAGAAGATAGAATGTATTCATTAGAATAAGCATACCCTGAAGAAGAAAGTGTATTGAGAAAATTTTGATGTTTAATTCATTAAAATGCATTTTTATCATGTCTAAGATAGTCAAAATTCGAGAAAATTACTGCAAGAAAACAGGTCACATCTCATAATCTAAAAGTCATTTGGCAACATAAACTACTTTATACTTAAGAAGAAACATAGTACTATTATTGTGTGAAAAAGAAAAAATATCTATCTTCAATCTTCAAATGAAAAATTAATTTGAAAATACTATAAAATCGGGTGCATCAAATGGCATAAATCAGTCGTGCTTTGGCACTCGTAGACGCCGGGTCTATGTCAGTTGACTGCCCACTGACGTATATGCGTCACGCGTGATTTTTTCGTAAATTGTAGTATGATTGAGTACTTTTGATCCGCAAGTATTTTTAATTTATTTGTTTAGGTAAATCGGACTTGTAATTTCTTTCTTTTCAAACTTTTTATTATTTTACTTACAGAATATGGGTAGAATAGATAAAAGATATTATTATGGTATCTGTTTGGTCAGGAAAAAATAAATGACTAATAAAAATTTTAACAGGGTGTCAAAACATTAGTCTATGCTATTGTGTTTCTACCAACATAAAATATACTCTTCCTTACTAATAAAAGTTGAATAGCGTCTGTATGGTCACACAACGCTTCGTCATGTTTTTCCGAAAGTTCAATTACTGACGACTGAATGAAAAAAATTGGTGCGTAACTATTCATCTGATATTAAACGTTTAGTAATAAAGGGGTAGGTCAGGTAAATGGCAAATCCACCAGCGGTCGCTCGATGCCACTTAGACAAATAGTTTTATAAAACGTCAACTAAGTTGGTTAGATATTTGTATTGTAGATACTTATACAAATGAACGTATAAAATGAGTTTATTTTTAAAAGTATAGGTACAGGGTGGAAACGATAAGTGATTTCACTTGATTTTTAACTATACAAGATATCGAGAAACTGTTTACCTACTGTTCCTGTAAGTGCTTCATGAGCTCTTTAAAACAATAACAATAAATAGGTCAACGAATAAACTGGATCTATGCGAAAATTCAATGTTTCCGAATTTTATACTAAATGTATGCCGCCAGCCATACCTACCACATTAGAAGTGTTAATTTTTTAAATTTAAATTTTTAATTGAGTAATAATTATATAATAATCAAACAACAAACTCGTAAATTGCATTCTTATTTAAATAATTTACGGAAAACATGATTTTAGGTTTAACTTGCTACAATGTCATCAAGTGATACTAATTAATAAATACTAAATAAACAGATAAAGGGGACGGCATTAAGGCACTCAGAATTCTCAGAAACCATTGATTTCGTGTTTGTTTGCAACTATATTAAATGTATGGAAGCTGGAAATATAGGTTTTTTGAATAGATTCAGTTCGTTCTTAAACATATCTTTTCTTTGTAAAGCTATCTACAAGCTTTTATTTTCTTTGACATCTGTGTAAAATCTTTACTTACTTCCCGTTTTCCCATTGAGCTGAAATTTTGCATGTCTACACAGGCATGCAAAATTTCGTTTCATTTCGCACTAAACAATTTAATTTACACGTGTTTTCATGCGATGGCCAAGTCAATATATTTATGTAAAACGTTAATGATTTCCTGGACTGGACTTGGTATTACATGGATCTCAAGATTTTTATATTGCCGCCTGTATGTTTCACCTGCTTCTTCGTTTACTTTGGTATCATTTCGGACTTCACAGGTCGCACGTATTGTCTGTCATCGGATGAAATAAGATTTAGCTTGATCTCATCAGAAAACAGCACATTTATCCATTGAGCAAAAGCCTAATGTCCATACTTTCTTGCAAACGCCAATCTTGCTTCTTTGTGTTCCATCTTCAGTAGTGGAACTTTTCGAGGAACTCTTCCTACAAGCTTTGCCTCCACCAGTCGCCTTCTGACGGTCCTCGCAGATACTTCAACAGTCGGTTCTGGTCCAAAAATCTCGCTCTTGATCAGAACGAAACCCTTAAAGGGGTCTCTCTTTGCGAGAGTGACCATTCTGCGATCATCTTGTGGGGTTGTTTTTATCGGCCTCTTCCTTCTAGGCATACTTTCTGTGGTTTCATGATTTTGAAATAAGCCACTGCATCGTAGATTCATGTTTTTGGAACATTTCAGATGATCTGCAATATACCGGTATGGCCATCCACACTGATAAAGATTAATTATAACTTAGCGCATTGTTGCTTTTCTTTCAGCCCATTACCTTTAATAATTTGATGAGTTTTTAACTCGTAAGATAAGAATATCGCTTTTCAAATTGACGCCGAAATTACAAATGAAGAGAATAAAAGTTATTACTTTTTATTTTTTTTTATTTAGAAGGAAAAACTTAAGCGTCCCTAATTAGGTGGCCAGACCGTCCGTACCATTAATTACCGATTCATGTGATTTGATTAAGATGTTTTATTAAGTTAGTGAGTTTTTTAGTTGTTATTGTATTCTGTTAAATAGAGTTCTTGATAGTCAATATGTTTACAAAGTAACAGCCAGTAATATTGAATGAAGCTCACAATAATAGGATATGAACACTTAGTATTGCTCAGTATTCTATCTGTCCCTAATTAGTTGACCACGACTGTATGTGTCCAATATCTTTTGATATTAAACATGACGGACTAAAAAAATTTTTTTAGGAAACTAGCCTATTGCACTAATTTGTGCGACTGTTGTGACCAGGGGGTGACTGCTTGGGGCGTTATGTTATTCTGGGTTATAAACAATAATACTGTAAAGTTTCATCAAAAGTTCCCTCCAGTAGTTTTTGCGTAAAAGAGTAACAAACATCCAGACATCTAAACTTTTGCATTTATAATGTTATTAAGATGTAGAATAAATGTATCTTTCTTTCTTTCTAGAATGCTTTTAGAAAATTAAGGCTACTCACCCTCAATCTTTTGATCCTCTCACAATCCCACAACTCGACAGTGGCAGACGAGGTTCCCACAGCAAGATGGGAGCCACCACCTTGAACCCAGCCCACAGAGCAGACGGTTTCAGAGCCTTCTAGAGTGAGGAGTTGCTCAATTTGCCCCGTTCCAGCGTTCCATAAGTACACTGAGCTTCCTAGAGCTACTGCTAGAATGTTGGACGCACTCCAATCTACTAGATTTAGATCTGTGAACAAAGAAGTTGGTATAAACAACACTATGATGGAACTTTCTGACATTTAATCTTGGTTATTGACCATAACATGAATCGATAACATTAATCAATCAACACTCAATTTGGCTGATCAAATCTTTATAAGGCCTTATTTATGGGTATTCAGAAAGTCACAAGTCTAGAGTAAGTTCAGAAAAAGCTCTGCTTAACTAAATATGGGTATTTTGAATAAATATGAATAAATAGTGAGCTTACAATAATCGTCCAAAATGTCCGGTGCATCCAAAATCCTGTCAGGAGCTTGAGGTATGTATCTTGTTGTGTTTTTCACTGATGATGGAACTTTAGCCTGCAAATTGTTCACATTTAAGACAATGACACTGAAAAGCATTTACAATAATGAATTTTCAACTAAAATCAAATTGCTTTTGCATAAAATATTAGTTTATGTAACCTGAAAACACCAATGACAAAAATCTATATATATAAAAGAAAGTCGTGTTAGTTACTTCGCTTATAACTCAAGAACGGCTGAACTGATTTAGCTGAAAATTGTCTGGGAGGTAGTTTAGAGCCAGGAGAAGGACATAGGATACTTTTTATCCCGTTCGAAACAAAAAAAAAAGTCTGCTTATTTATTGCCATTAAGGCGGAACAAAGTTCGCCGGGTCAGCTAGTTTATTATAAAACAAAGTATGTAAACGATATGGTGAGAGTATTTTACATGAAGATTAGTAATGAATAAAAGCAGCCAGCGTTTAGCGTTTGATACCTGTGAATACACTACTCTTAGTCTGTTCTGGTAGCCCTCCGGAGCGGCAGGGGCCTTACAGGTATACTGCAGGAGTCTCCCCGGCTCTGTGTCAGTGAGAGCCCTACCGATGGCTTCACCGGCAGCCGTCTGCGCTACTACCTCTTCCCCTTTGTCTTCTTCGCGGCTCATCTGAAAGAGATAAATGCATTTATGTTAACAGAAGTAAAATGTGTATTGATATGGAGCATGCTACAGCATAAAATCAACAAGACACTCAAATTTTTCAATAAAACATTGAATTTTTTTATGATGACAAACAGTTACTCTGATATTTCCTGCAGATTCACTGAATATTTAGTAGCAAATGGAAGAACTATTGATTAGAAACTCAGTGAAAAGATTTGTTCCAATATCTCACTTACCATATAGTGGCACAAATCATAGTTGGAGTTACTTCGGGATGGAATGAATCGGTCAGCTTTGTTAGGGGTCTTGGAGGCTTTGTTTGGTGTGGGAGTGGTGGAGCGACCTGTCGAATAATAAGAGATACCTATATAACTGTTATAAAATAAATGACACTTGAATTTTATTGACACATGGTCATATTAATAAAGTAAATAAATAGTGAATTTAACCTTACCTGGGCTCTTTGTCTTAGAGGGTGTTTTCTTTCCTTTTTTGTTTTCATTTCGTGTTGGAGTTTTATTACTGGAGAGTACACTATTGTTACAACTTTGGTTGGCGGATATCGACAACTTTTGCATCGACTGGTTGCATGTACTGAGGTTGATATTCGATATATTTTTGAATGATGCGCTTAGCGATGGATTGTGATTCTCATTGTTGGTCTTCTTCACCCATCGCTGAAGAGGGCCACGAGTTATCGGGCCATCTATTGTAGCCAAACTTTTCAAATCGTTCAAGTAGTTGAATTGTGCCATTTTTCATGCACTAAGCACAAACGCTCACTACAAAGTTAGTAGACAGAGTAATCGTCAATCACAGTAAATTTTATTTCGTAAAAACATCAGACAATATAAATAAAATATTTATCGTCGATCATCAACACAATAAAAATCGCAATTTTCTCGACTGCAAAATGACAGTTAAAACCGGAAGCCGTTGGAAATTTGAAATTCTATTCCAAGTTTTTTTGATTCGATTACGGCTTGGCATACCGTTGTTTTACCTAAGTTAATGCCACGGCTATATTTGCGTTTTTGGTAATAGTTGTACTTCGAGGCATACATCGAGGTTACAAATTAGGGAGACGTTATTTAAATATTGCTTTAAAAGCTCTTTCGAGTTATGTTATCATAATTAATTTGCAATATTTTTGAGACTCTGGTAGACCTATATTATTACTCCTGCAAGGTTGCTGGTGTTTTAAAAATGTCCCTGGCAAAAATGGCGACAAATTATTATTTTTCACAACTGACTTTTGCCTGCGGCTTTGCTCTCATAAAATTCAATTCAATTATACAGAAAAAATCAAATTATGTATAATGGCACGTATTGTTGTAACTTGGTCAAATTAGTCAAATAACTGAATCGTTCGTTCCAGCCGAAAGACGTCGACAGCTGGACAAAGGCCTCCCCCAAGGAAGAAGAAAATAAGTGAATATCACGCGTAAACAACAATATGTACTTTAGTCTCATCAAAATCCATCTAGTAGTTTTTACGTGAAAGAGTAATAAACATCTAGCCACACATGCGTGACATGGTAAACAAAAACGATGGTAATGGTTGATCATGACTGTATTCCTGACACTGTTGTCCTTCCAATTTTTGTCCCCATCATGGGGCCAACAGAAATACAGGATGATTGCAACTGATAGTTGATGACCACTAGGATTTGGGGTAAATTTAAATAAAACACAAGATTATGAAAATCTGTATATTTCTAGGTTCGTTCATAAAATAAACTTGTATCTAAATAATCGAAAAATATAAATTTAATTACGTAAAAGTGCATTCTGTTGTTCTAATGCATAATACAACATTTAAAATCACTGAACATAATACACTTTGCTATGGCATATCAGAATGTTGATTTTAATATATTTATTCATTATTACGTCCTATTATAATTTACTATGTAAAATAATCATGATTGGAATTAAAAATAATATTGTTCGTATAACATTGTTCTAAATTAATTAAAACTAGGAACAGAAAAGAAATGCTGAATTGAGCACATTTTTAACACAATCTTTCACCCCATTATTCACGAAAACTTAAAACAATACTAATTTCAATGCGATAAAATGAGACAAAAAATAAAATTCAATTCATGTTAAAAAAATGGGGTTAGTCTTATAAAAATATTTTGGATATGTCAGTACACAAAGACTTCACTATATGATACTGATCTGATTGAGATTTACAAAATCTATTTTCCAGAAACTAAGTACAAAATATTTATTATAGTTATGCATTGACAGTAGTTAGGCGGAAGATTTTTATGAATTGCAATATTTATTGTATGAAGTTTTTAAAACATTTTCCGATTAGAATAAGCAGCTCGTAAAAGCACTAAAACGAATGAATTTAAAATGTTAAAGGATTATAGATTAAAATTAATGAATTACAACATAATAATCAACAAGTAAGGAAAATGAATCAATTCATACAACATTAAAATGATATGGCGCAAACATTATGCCTACATCGTGAACAGTTTTCGTTCCATTAAACATAGCACCATTACATTACTTAACAGTTACTTAGATTACTATTATTTACACAGAGATCTCATATAGACTACATCACATTAGATAGCTATACTAACGCGAACCACTGAGATGGCACAAACGGCGAGAAAATTATGAGTTTGAGTCATACGCCGTATGATTTATAGTTCGATAGTTTCGAGTTTATTTCAATAGAGTATATGTATCGATTTTATAAACTGGATAATTAGTACCACCAATCAACGGATTATGTCGTCAAACCATAATGGGTTAGTAGAAATGTATACCCCTACTGTGTATTGGGTAAATGCTCATTCATGCACATAATGAGTTTGTTTTCAAATAGTGGTAACAAAGTTTGAGACAGTTTGGTGGTGTAAGGTACCTGAATTATGACTATCGTAAATATACCCCATTTAGATAAGAATAAATTAAAAATCATATTTTGTGACACGTGTTGCGACATCTACGAGATTGGTGGGATAAACATTATCTCTGCCAAAATAAAATTAATTTCAATAAGGTTGTACAATTTACTACATTACGGGATTCTTTCTGTTATTTAGATCTACTTACATTTATGATGAAGACACATAGTTGTGCGTTTTATTACTTATTGTCCTTTTCGGACATTATTTTATTAAAGTAACTTTTTTATTCATCTAATTTAGTGCGACGTAGTATGGCATACGGATCTTTTTAAAATATAGAATAGTGCAAGGTTGTGGTGCTTTTACGTTGTGGTTGAGCCAGCCCACATTCACAAAATCCGTTAACCCGCCATATCATTTACGCCGACTTTTTCACTAATTTTGATAAGCACTTTCATATAATAATTAATTATAGACACCTATATCACCATGATAAAATGAGCAATATTTAATCGTTGTTATAAGCAAATTAGGAGCTCAGTTTAATAATCTAAAGATATTATTTAATTTTGAGCACATTCGTATTGAATTATAAAAAGGCAAGCGCTATTAACCGTATGCAAAGGTTACTTTCAATTAGATTTAGTATAAACTGACTTGTATGTTATCAGTAATCAGCATGAATTCTAAATTTTTGCTTTTTTACAAAACTTTTCATTATGATTGTGCTAAGTAATGTTAGAGATTAGTATAAGCAATAATATAGTTAACCAAATTATGCATTCTGGTTGTAAGTAAATTGTCTAAAATAAGAAATGCCCACCCCCAAATATTAAATACACCTACCATCATCAAAATTAAAATAATTGAATTAATAGAAATCATTGGACTAATATGCACTAAAAATCTCAAGAATATTTGTTTACATTTTACTAGAAATAGCCAGGGAGCATTTTATTTTACGTATACGAAATTAATCTAACGTTTCTATTGCTTATGCGCTTGATTTAAATGCTAGTCGGTCATGTTACACGAATAATGTAACAACCATTGCACGAATATCACACACTAAATACTCTTCCCTATATAGGTATAAAAATAATTCGAAGAGAGCATGGGGATCTGAGAATCTTATTTGTGTTGGCCTATAGTTAATTGACAGTATCTTGGCTTTATCACAAGAGTGATCGGTTTTCAATATCAATACTCTTATTAATATCAATACAGATTTCTTGCCATGCTAAAAAATGGGAGTGTTGTAGGAAGACAACGTTGATCAGACTATTTCATTATCAGTGTTAAATTGATTTCATTTGTAACGATTCAAATTGTGAATACTGATATTGCATTAAATATTTTAAGTAGAATTTATTAGTCACAATTAGCAACGGTGCGATTAGAGTACTTGTATTGACTTGTCGATTTATTACTTTTAGCAGCAACATTGTCACTATGAAACGTCAAAGTGACATTTGGTGTAAGTTTATCAGCCAACGTTTTTCTAGCAACATTCAGCTGTATTGCCTTGGATTTAAAATCCAAGTTTAGCGTCTAGAGCGTAGACTGTATATAAAAATAAATGCGTTTGGCAGTATGTGTTGCGATTAGGATAGCGTTACGTGTCTTGTATGGCGTTCATGACGTGGACTCGGCCTGAATTGTCGACGGTCACGAAGCAAGAAAACTTCTCGTCGTGGCAGATCTTCTTTGCGCTCATTCCTGTTAGTTTGATGCACGCTAGTATTTCCTTCTTCTTTGAACCCTCCTTGTATCTGGAATTCGGGAAATGAGAATAAAAATACGGTTTCAGAAACCGGGATGAAAACTATCCTATGTCCTTTTCCGAGACTCAAACTATCTCTATGCCAAATCTCATCAAAATCGGATTTGGTTTAGGCGTGAAAGACAGACAGACAGAGTTACTTTCGCATTTATAATATTAGTATAGATTAAAAATATAAGCGTTTTACACTTCTGTCGGGTAAATACAGGTCTTATATCTTAGTCCCGAAAAGGCCCTATTTTGCATGTGATTGACAATGAATGAAAATGATGAAGTCAATTATTTTACGTAATATTCTAGAGTAAATGAACATATTGATAAAATACAATATGTCCCAATATCACACTATCTCGTACTAATCAAAGTTTTTTTTAAACTAGACAAAGGATATGCTACTTACTTTTTCCCCTTCCACAGAAGTTTAAAGCAATCTTGCGATTGGAATGATCCGTTGCCGAAGAAGAAATTACTGTTCGATGAACCTATAGAGAGGTTTTCCATAGCCTCGTGCAGGTCAACTTTGCTCTCCATAGGACTGGCCAAAGGCGTCATCACATTACGTCCAGTCCTGTGAAAAGTAGACAAATGAATTATAGGTTTTGCTTATTATTTACACTTTATTGCATCAAGGGCGGTGAAATGGCAGATTTTATGACAAAAATAATTTTGCAATCAAATTATCTAGGAGAAGTGAATCATAATTATGTTAATTTAAAAAAAAAATCGATAAAGTTTTAAGCTCAAGCGATTGGCTTTGGCTTTATCGGAATTAGAAGACCCGAAAATATGTTGATTCATACTAAATACTCGTCTGTAAATGGTTGGACCAACGACATAAGTAACAAACCTCCAGTAACTCTTGTTAGCCCGCATCTTCATGATATAAGTGACGTTCCACCACACGATCTCCGAGGCCATAGTAACAAGCACCAGTGGGGTGTTGTCTTCATCTGTTACATCGGGGGGAGACAGGGGCGAAGCTTAGCTAATGGTGTAAGTTAACACTAACCTCCAGTAACTTTTGTTAGCCCGCATCTTCATGATATAAGTGACGTTCCACCAGACGATCTCTGAGGCCATAGTAACAAGCACCAGTGGGGTGTTGTCTTCATCTGTTACATCGGGGGGAGACAGGGGCGAAGCTTAGCTAATGGTGTAAGTTAACACTAACCTCCAGTAACTCTTGTTAGCCCGCATCTTCATGATATAAGTGACGTTCCACCACACGATCTCCGAGGCCATAGTAACAAGAACTAGTGGGGTGTTGTCTTCATCTGTTACATCGGGGGGAGACAGGGGTGTAGCGGGTGACTGGCAGTTGGCACTACGGTAGAGGCGGTCGGGCACGGGCGAGAAGGAACAACAGTGGACCGGGGTCTTGTGGTGTTTTAGTAAACGCAGCTGACGTTTGCCCGGGACGTTCCATACCTGAAAAGTTAATGTGGTAATTAGTAACGTCACAGCGTATACTGAGCAAATAGTCATCCAGTTAATTAGACCAGATGTGGAATTGTGTAAAGCAATCGTTATCATTTGACAGTTCATAACGTACGATTATTCTGTCAAACGCTTTGTTTAACTGACTTTATCGTACGTTATGAACTGTCATATGATTACGATTGCTTTACACAATTCCACCTCAGGCTAAATCTCAGGTTCTTGTGTTACTAATCGAAATAACATGTTTTTATTCAGTTTTAAGTTTATACAGAAAAATATAAGGACCGCCAATGTGGAGACAATATTCGTAAATGTCTTAACCATTATAAAATGAAAAAAACTTGACGTAATGTTTAAACCAAATGGTTCATAATTATTATTTCGTGTGCTTACTTACCACAACATCTCCAGAATCCAAACCCATCGCCAGTATAAACCCATCCTCTGATAAATCACACGAGGTGATTCGATTGTTCAGTCTGTAGTCTTGAATTTGGTTGAGTTCAACTTGGTCGCCTACTTTTAACTCGAATGTCTAAAATAAATAAAATCAACATAATAAATAAAAGAATAAACTCGTGTATAATAAGTAATATGATTACAAATATTTAGACGTAAAAATGGCGTTGAATTTTTTATTAAGAAGGAAGAACTAGGCTACCCTTTTATCTTTCGGGGGAAGTATGTTTATAACTAAAAAAATGTAACATTCAATTCTGACTGCTGTAAAGTGAATTGAATGTTTAAATTTTTGATAAATACTTTCTGTAATCTATACTAATATTATAAAGCTGAAGAGTTTGTTTGTTTACTTGAACGCGCTAATCTCCGGAACCACTGGTCCGATTTGAAAAATTCCTTCAGTGTTAGATAGCCCATTTATCGAGGAAGGCTATAGGCTATACAACATCACGCTACGATCAATAGGAGCAGAGAAATAATGAAAAATGTTGCGAAAACGGGTTTTCACGCGTACGAAGTCGCGGGCACAGCTAGTATACCATAATATGATTATCCCACTTCCCACATGAGTAAAGTCGCAGTAAAAACTTAAAACAATATCACTTACCGTAAAACCAGTCTTAAAATCGTCGCATATAGCCAGCACATTCTTCTTATACGCGGCACAAGTTACATGAGCGTCACTCTGCCTCGGGTTCAATATGCAGACCATTTTGTTTGCCTCTTGACTCCACAGTTTCACCAGTGCGTTGCTTTCAACAGTAATGAAACCCACGTCCCGTATGTAGAAACAGTCTACTAAGCCGCAGACACCGCGAAGGCGACTTTTGCCGTCGTGGTTGAAATACCCTCGGCTTCGAGAAGTCTGGCTTGATTCGCTGCCCGAACTGGACAGGTTGTCCGCTTGGCTGCTTTTTTTCTTTATACCTGTAACGTTTTATGAATTAGAGCAGACATTTATGTCTTGTTGGACTATGTATTATGCGATTTTGTCATTAGGAATTTTTCAAGGGATTCATAGTCCTGTATTTTGAAATGATAGCTTTAAATGCTGCTAAAATACTTTAGTCACATTGAAGTTGAACTAATGTCGACTAAGTATTTTTCGATAACTCTTCGAATATTGTCAAATAAACGGCCGGAGTGGTACTCGCGCTTGCGCGCAGTAAAATATTTAACTTTATGCTCTGAATGATTGAGTCTGATGTCGAATCAGCAGTGCACGGTAAAAGCAAACCTGGTTTTTGTGACATCGTCAATGGTCATCATTAATATTTGGAAATACTATGTAACTTGTTTTAAATAAATAATAATAATAAACAACGAGTATTAATTTTTCCACTTACCCTGTATATCATTAAGTATCTCCTGCGATCCAAGATGCACCTTTTCACACTGCATCATCTCCGTTTGCCAATCACCGTCATTGGTCAATCTGTATGCCATCAGGGAGTTTTTGCTGCCGACTATCAGTAATTGCGGGTTGACGAAGTTCAAATATTGCACTGAACTGTACATATTCATTATGTCTTCAGTCTCTTTGGATCTAAGGGCGTATTTTTTCACGATACCAGATCGGAGGCCGTAGATGACATAGAGGTTGCATGGGGAGATCTTGATCGTGGTGATTTCTTCTTCTGGTTGAGTTATTATTTCTGTGAGCACCTTTCTGCCGCGCATTACCTGGAAAGATAGAGAAATAAATTGTAGCGTAGGTTAAAGTGGCTTGATCGGCGTTTATTCTCAGCACTTGCTATGTGTTTATCTCAAAGCGCTGATAGGGCCCAAAAGATAATTAAACATGTAAATTGCCCCTTAATTTACCCTTTTTGTTTGACGTTCATAAGTGCCATAATATTGGTCTAATCTAAACTGTATAAAGCCCGGTCCGTGAGCACGTAGAATTTTGTCACGTGTTTGTTTTTACGTGAGCGTGCGAGCGCGATAGCAACATAATTATGCGCGAGCGATAAGGATGGGTAGCTTGGGGTCATTGGACAAAATTCTACGTGCTCACGGACCAGACTTTAAAATATTTTATCATCAACCACGGCTAGGAGAGGCATAGTGGCGCCAGGGCTATTGCAAAGCCCGCGTAGGTTGAGCGGCTTGATGCAGCGGCAGTCTAGGCTAAGGCTAGGCACCACCGGCCGCTTGGGGGCGCCAGTTTGAACGACTGTACCTCTTGGGAGTGGTAGACGTAGCATTTTGCACCTTATGCTTATGCGTGTAGAGATCAATCTTACCTGTATGTTGCTCTTGTCATCGACGACAGCTAGAAGAGGCATAGTGGCGCCAGGGCTGTTACAAAGTCCGCGTAGGTTGAGTGGTTTGATACAACGGCGGTCTAGGCTAAGGCTAGGCACCACCGGCCGCTTGGGGGCACCACTGTTCTGGGACGACTGGTGTCTTTTGGGGTTGGAGGACGTAGCATTTTGAGCATTATGCACATGCGTGTAGAGATCAATCTTACCTGTATGTTGCTCTTGTCATCGACTACCGCTAGCAGAGGCATAGTGGCGCCAGGGCTGTTACAAAGTCCGCGTAGGTTGAGTGGTTTGATACAACGGCGGTCTAGGCTAAGGCTAGGCACCACCGGCCGCTTGGGCGCGCCAGTGTGCTGAAACGACTGGTGTCTCTTGGGGTTGAAGGACGTAGCATTTTGAGCCTTATGCACATGCGTGTAGAGATCAATCTTACCTGTATGTTGCTCTTGTCATCGACTACCGCTAGCAGAGGCATAGTAGCGCCAGGGCTATTACAAAGCCCGCGCAGGTTGAGTGGCTTGATGCAGCGGCGGTCTAGGCTAAGGCTAGGCACCACCGGCCGCTTGGGGGCGCCCAGTTTGAACGACTGTACCTCTTGGGAGTGGTAGACGTAGCATCTTGAGCCTTATGCATATGCGTGTAGAGATCAATCTTACCTGTATATTGCTCTTGTCATCGACTACCGCTAGCAGAGGCATAGTGGCGCCAGGGCTAATACAAAGCCCGCGCAGGTTGAGTGGCCTGATACAATGGCGGTCTAAGCTGAGACTTGGCACCACCGGCCGTCAGTGTGCTAGAACTACAGAAATACTGGTGCCTCTTGGGAGTGGTAGACGTAGCATCTTGAGCCTTATGCACATGCGTATAGAGACCAATCTTACCTGTATGTTGCTCTTGTCATCGACCACAGCTAGCAGAGGCATAGTGGCGCCAGGGCTATTACAAAGCCCGCGCAGGTTGAGTGGCTTGATGCAGCGGCGGTCTAGGCTAAGGCTAGGCACCACCGGCCGCTTGGGGGCACCAGTGTGCTGAAACGACTGGTGTCTCTTAGGGTTGGAGGACGTAGTATTTTGTGCCTTATGTATATGCATGTAAAGATCAATCTTACCTGTATGTTACTCTTGTCATCGACGACAGCTAGTAGAGGCATAGTGGCGCCAGGGCTGTTACAAAGTCCGCGTAGATTAAGTGGCTTGATACAACGGCGGTCTAGGCTAAGGCTAGGCACCACCGGCCGCTTGGGGGCGCCAGTGTGCTGAAACGACTGGTGCCGCTTAGGAGTGGTGGAGGCGCTTTGAACGGTGCTGTTTGTGGCTGTGGTACTCGGTGTCTGAGGAGACACAGCGATGTTGAAGCTTACGTCGAATCTCTTTGTGAGGCGGACTTTGCTGTAAAATAATATAATAATAATAGTTAAGTGTCAAATCTATATTTATAAAAGCGAAAAGTCACTGACTGATTGACTCACTCACTCATCACGAAATCTCAGAAACTACAAGTGCTAGGAGCACAGAATAATAATAAGTACTTCGTACAGAAGATTTTCTTCGCGAAGGTATTTAAAAAAAATTATGCTCAATATCGTTAACAATATGGTGTAATTTAGCTTGTCTCAAGAGTCGAGCACCATTTTGTTGACAAACGTCAGTGGTACTGCGCCGAAGACATAGGGCTGCCTTCGGTAAAATGATGTGTGACGTGAGGTGCCAAACTGCGAAAAATGGCGGAGGAAATACATGAATAAGCATGAATTATATTTTGTGTTTCTAATATTATTCAGGCAGTTAAAAAATACTGTAGAGTATTAATTGCACCACCGTTTTTACATATGGTTTATTGTCTTTACAATGCAAATGGGTGAAGAATACGTGCGTGCGTCAATACTCGCTCGTGATTGTCCTGTCGATTTGGTATCTCAGGAGGGGTAGTCGCGCGTGTTTTGTTTTCGATGCAAACTCGCGGAGATGAACAGGCCTGCTAGGAGTCTCAAATTTTGCATGGGGTTCCTTTTAAAACGTAGGTGCTCACTAAGAACGGATTTTACGAAAGGGGGTAAAACGGGATCCCCGCTTATGAAGTCGCGGGCGGCCGCTTGTATTTTATTATCACCCAAAGAGCAATGGAGCGGGCTATACACGAAGTTTTTCTATGGATCGAATCAGAAATGACATAGCCCGCAGAATTGCCAAACTGAAGTGGCAGTAGGTGGGGCACATAGTCCACGATTCGGAAGACGTGATGGGTAGTAGTCCTCCCACTATGTGGACCGACGACCTGGTGAAGGTCGTGGGAAGTACCGGGATGCCGGTCGTTGTGGAAATTATTGGGGAAGGNCCTATGTCCTTTTCCGAGACTCAAACTATCTCTATGCCAAATCTCATCAAAATCGGATTTGGTTTAGGCGTGAAAGACAGACAGACAGAGTTACTTTCGCATTTATAATATTAGTATAGATTAAAAATATAACCCCCTTACTAATAAAACTTACACGCTCGTTGAACAGTGTTTTAAAGTGACGTGTAGTATGGAAATGTTATTTTAAAACAGTGTTCAACAACTGTGTAACTTTTTATTAGTAAGGGGGTAAGCGTTTTACACTTCTGTCGGGTAAATACAGGTCTTATATCTTGGTCCCGATGAATGAAAATGATGAAGTCATCAATAAATTATTTTACATAATATTCTAGAGTAAATGAACATATTGATAAAATACAATATGTCCCAATATCACACTATCTCGTACTAATCAAAGTTTTTTTTAAACTAGACAAAGGATATGCTACTTACTTTTTCCCCTTCCACAGAAGTTTAAAGCAATCTTGCGATTGGAATGATCCGTTGCCGAAGAAGAAATTACTGTTCGATGAACCTATGGAGAGGTTTTCCATAGCCTCGTGCAGGTCAACTTTGCTCTCCATAGGACTGGCCAAAGGCGTCATCACATTACGCCCAGTCCTGAAAAAGTAATTTACTTATTTACACTTTATTGCATTTCGTGTTGAAATTGCAGATTTTATGCTAAAAAGCATATTTTATGATTGGTAATCAGAAAAATAACTAATGCGAAGTGAATCTCAATGTCAATCGTAACTTTCGCTAAGCAATAGTGATGAGGACCAGTAGTCTTATTCACGTAACAAAACTTCAACGACAACAAAACACTGAGTTGAAATCTTGTCGAGTAATCGTTCTATCAAAATGATCCTTGTGAATACGGATTTAGAACTGTTTTTCAATGGGACTACTTTTGAATGTCAGCGGGATCTTGACTCACATGACTGTCAAAATTAGTGAATTAGGTATGGTTGCCTTCCATCCATGATTCAACGTGTCAGGAGGTGACAGGGGCGGACCTTAACTAAATGGAATAAAGTAACAAACCTCCAGTAACTCTTGTTAGCCCGCATCTTCATGATATAAATGACGTTCCACCACACGATCTCTGAGGCCATAGTAACAATCACCAGTGGGGTATTGTCTTGAGTGCATTACCGCAGCAAAATTTTTATAAATGTTGTGCTTTAGAGAGTCGAGAGTATAGCAGATAATCAGTCCATCGTGAGCAGAAATTTGTCCACTAATAGCAAAATTCGTTCAAATTATAGTTTTAAAGTTATTAGGAAAAAACAGATTTTGCTGGGGTAATGTTTGAAACATTACCCCAGCAAATTTTTTTTTTAAAGCCGTTCTATCCCGGAACCAAATACATGGATAGATAGCTTTTGTTGCGTAGTAATTTGCCCACGAATAGCAAAATTTGTTCGTGTTACGGTTCTCAAGTTATTCAGAATTTTGCTGGGGTAATGTTTTGTGATGTCCCAGATCTCGTAAATGGCTCAACGCAGAAGTTTGAAAAAAATACCAATGATAGACCTTGATATGTCCAAATTAGTTCAAGCATTAGTCATTGATTTGAATGATAAACACCAGTGTAATTAAATGATTTCGAAAATCAGATAAAACGGATTTGTGAGTAAACCAGTACTCTTACAATCGAATAAAAAGGTGTAGCATGTACCCTTGGTACACCTTTATAACCACAGTAAATATAAATGATGTGGCTTTGCTCAAAAGAGAGATTTCAAGAAATTTCAATTTATTTTAACAGTCTTACTTTCGTGGCCGAATACGCAATTCCCTTATAACAAGGGAACATGGAATACAACGGACAAATTAAAATGTTCTTTGAATAAGCTATCCTGTTAATTTCAGCTTTATATTACGACTTAAAAGAAAGTTATTGAACTGCAAAAAATATCAGGAATTCTTCTATAAGCCAACCAAATTATAAAGGTTACAGAAAAGCGATCACTCCATACATACAGGTATACTTCGCAAATTAGTAGCTTAGCTGTCAATGTTTTGTACAGTTATGTGGAATATTGTAATTCGTGCAAAAGATTTTTAAATATTAACTTTCTAATCAGTCTCCATCGTCCTTCCACCATGCGTTTTTTTTTTCAAAATAATGTCTNGGGGAAGGCCTTTGTCCAGCAGTGGAAGTTATTTGGCTGTAGCGAACCTACGAGCAAGTGTGTATTTTTTATCTGAAATTAACAATAAAATGAACTTACCCGTTCTTCTGGGTCTGCTGCAATACATAAGTCGGTTCCAGGTTCCACACTTTGGCGGAGTTTTCGATAGTGCCGGTCCCGGTAAGCAGTACGTCTGAGCCCGGCTCAAAGTCGTTCCAAACGGCTATTTCGCTGACATCCATTGATACTACATTTCTAAAAGAGATTAAAATGTTTTATTATAATATCCCGCGGGTATCGTAAGAGGCGATTTAGGGACTACACATCAAACAGAGAACGGGCAGCAGCACTCTCTGAAAAACATCAATCTTTTATACTGCGATCTCCAACCCGCCTGCTAAGCGTGGGGATTATGGCAAAACCCTCCATTATAGTGGAGGAGGCTCATCATAGTTTAATAGTGGACTGTAAAGGGCTGTTGATGATGATGGTTATAATATTGAAGACCTATTGGCGCAGTTGACGTCGATGCGAGCATACGTTATCACTTGGATGGAAAAAGAAAGGAAATTAGTTTTTTTTATGCTAGACAAGGCAGGTGGTATTTGACCGCAATCGCACCTGGTTTTTTTTTTTTAATTATTTATTCAGTTTAGACCACAATTGGCACTTATGAACGTCAATAGTGAACGTCAATATAACTTTACATGTCTCCTTATCTTTTGGGCCCTACCAGCGCTTCGAGACAAACATATGGCAAGTGCTGAGAAGAAACGCCGGAACAAACAAAGTGAGATGCAGTCTAGGATGGTACATATCTGCCCTGTAAGTGCCTATTCACTCTCACCTTGAAACCGCCCAGTTTGAGATTTTTGATCCTAGTTGCAGAATTTTTGAATTTCACTCACATTCAACCACACAGGTTGTCTTTACCTCTCTTGTTATACGGACGCCAGCACATCAGACTTACATTTTTGTTGCAATATCGCCCCTGTTACAACCACATAAGACACCGTGTTTAGTTTGATGTGCTGTCGTCTGTTTTAAAAGTATCAATAACATTCTTACCCCCTCCGATTTTCCAAGTCAAATATGCGTGAGTTGGTCTTCAAGTCTATACAGATGACCCGGCTATCATCTGTCGAAGCGAACAGCAAAGTGCCAATCTTATTAACAACTATGGTCAGGAATAAAAGATTGTCCTTCACGTCTTTGGCCTCAATAATTTTGTTGCACATGCACGTATTGCTTTGGTAATTTATTTGATACAGGTGTTGCGTTATTTCTTTCGCTTTTAGGGTGATGATTTTGATTGTTTTGTGGTGACCTGTAAGAAATAAGGTTTTAGTTTGGGGCCAATAACTAATTTAGTAAATACATGATTGCTTGGTCATGCCATATTTTGAGTCTTGAATTAAACTTCAAAAAACTGTAAGTGATAAAGCTGTCGTTTCATATTACATTTCTTCATGCTAATTGACAATCATGGCGCAAGTATACTATGCCGGAAATTGGCCGAGACGTAATAGTGTGAACACCATCTCAGTTACTTTCTTCTTCGCACACCCGTGTGTCGCCCATACTTCGATCGATGTTCTAGCGCTTCGTCTCGGTCATAGTTCATAGTGTACTTGCGCCATTAGATTTAATGACTAACTTGGAACAACTAAGATGTTGAGCACCGGCCCAGTTTCCTTTATGGTCATGATCTTGTCTTTGCTCGTCTGGTCGATGACGAACAGATAGTTGGCGCCGTTGCTGACCACAGCCGCGATCAAGTAGTTGTCGTAGTTGCATGGAGCGCAGCATAGTATCTCTTGGTCCCTGTGAATATAAATAATAATTGTCAGATTATAATCTGACGTAGTTAGATTACAATATAACCTAACCCACTGTTAGTTTACAATCTCACTCGTTATATTATAAACTAGCTTTCCGCCCGCGGCTTCGCCCGTGTGGAATTTTGTCTGTCACAGAAAAACAATTACAGTATTTGCTCACCGTTTAGACCTACCCTGGACTACGACAAACATTTTAAAACCAAAATCAGCTTAATCGGCCCAGCAGTTCACGAGTTTTAATCAGACTAACGAACATCAATTCATTTTTATTTATATAGATAGATTGACGACGTTCACAATTTAACGTTCACACACGTTGAAAAAATAATTATTTAGCATCAACAATTTATGTGCTATAAAATTAAATAACTGTCGATAAAGACTCACCTGTCAAAATTGTCGAACACCTTTAGCACCGTCCCATCGACGTTGTAAAGCACAATCATCTTGGCTGTGTGCGCGATTAACACCTCGTGATGGTTGGCCCAGCGGCAGTTCAGGAATAAACCCAGCTTGGGCTGTATCGTGCAGTTGCTTGGACAGTTGTTGTTGTATAGTTCTTCGTTTTCTGGAAAATAATGGGGAATATTTGAGTATAGATAGTAAATATTATATTAGGGAGATTACGCACTGCATTCTATCAACATCTGATATTGTAGGTTTGCTGTGGTATTGTTTGTATAAGAGTTTTTAAGAATTACATTTTGTAAACCTTCGCAAAGTCAACTGCCTGAATAAGACAGACTTCGATATTAATTGAGTATCAAGTTATTCTAAGTGAATTGCAGGACCAGTGTCTCTTTTGATAATAGCTTTCAAATTGGACTATACATATACAACGTGTCNTTTTCTCTGATTTTCGAAATCATTTAATTACACTGGTGTTTATTATTCAAATCAATGACTAATGCTTGAACTAATTTGGACATATCAAGGTCTATCATTGGTATTTTTTTGAAACTTCTGCGTTGAGCCATTTACGAGATCTGGGACATCACAAAACATTACCCCAGCAAAATTCTGAATAACTTGAGAACCGTAACGCGAACAAATTTTGCTATTCGTGGACAAATTACTACGCAACAAAAGCTATCTATCCATGTATTTGGTTCCGGGATAGAACGACTTTCAAAAAAAAATTTTGCTGGGGTAATGTTTCAAACATTACCCCAGCAAAATCTGTTTTTTCCTAATAACTTTAAAACTATAATTTGAACGAATTTTGCTATTAGTGGACAAATTTCTGCTCACGATGGACTGATTATCTGCTATACTCTCGACTCTCTAAAGCACAACATTTATAAAAATTTTGCTGCGGTAATGCACTCTATTGTCTTCATCTGTTACATTGGGGGGAGACAGGGGCGGACCTTAACTCAATGGAATACAAACCTCCAGTAACTCTTGTTAGCCCGCATCTTCATGATATAAGTGACGTTCCACCACACGATCTCTGAGGCCATAGTAACAAGCACCAGTGGAGTGTTGTCTTCATTTGTTACATCGGGGGGAGACAGGGACGAAGCTTAACTAATGGTATAAGTCAACACTAACCTCCAGTAACTCTTGTTAGCCCGCATCTTCATGATATAAGTGACGTTCCACCACACGATCTCCGAGGCCATAGTAACAAGCACCAGTGGGGTATTGTCTTCATCTGTTACATCGGGGGGAGACAGGGGCGGACCTTAACTCAATGGAATACAAACCTCCAGTAACTCTTCTTAGCCCGCATCTTCATGATATAAGTGACGTTCCACCACACGATCTCCGAGGCCATAGTAACAAGCACCAGTGGGGTGTTGTCTTCATCTGTTACATTGGGGGGAGACAGGGGTGGACATACTCGATGGAATACAAACCTCCAGTAACTCTTGTTAGCCCGCATCTTCATGATATAAGTGACGTTCCACCACACGATCTCCGAGGCCATAGTAACAAGAACCAGTGGTGTGTTATCTTCATCTGTTACATCGGGGGGAGACAGGGGTGTAGCGGGTGACTGGCAGTTGGCACTACGGTAGAGGCGGTCGGGCACGGGCGAGAAGGAACAACAGTGGACCGGGGTCTTGTGGTGTTTTAGTAAACGCAGCTGACGTTTGCCCGGGACGTTCCATACCTGAAAAGTTAATGTGGTAATTAGTCACAGCTTATACTGAGCAAATGCTATACAATTAAGGACTGATTTTTCAATCGTCGGATAACTTTTAACTGAAGAAAAACTAACTACTACTAAACTTGTTATTTTGACATAATGCCCATACTGAAACTGTTAGGCCTAGAACAGACGGTGAAACGCAACTGCAACGAAATTGCAACTTTCTGTTCTGATGATTCTGATGAATGAAACTGAAAGTTTCAAACTGGTCTGGTCGCGTCATGTGTGGTCTCTCAACGGACGCTATGGCAGAAACTTAGATGCAACTCAAAAGTAACTAGCAGTTGTAGTTTCGTTGCAGTTGCGTTTCACCGTCTGTTCTGGGCCTTAATGTGCAAAACTTATTCTTCAGATAAAAGTTATCCGACGATTGAAAAATCAGCCCTTAGTACGCTTGGAATAAACAGTTGATAAGACCAGGCTAAATCTCAGGATCTTGTGTTACTAATTTAAATAATATGTATTTATTCCGTTTGAAGTTTATACAGAAAAATCTAAAATTACACTAGGATCGCCAATGTGGAGACAATATCCGTAAAGGTCTTAACCATTATGAATGAAAAAAACTTGACGTAATGTTTAAACCAAATGGTTCATATTATTTCGTGTGCTTACTTACCACAACATCTCCAGAATCCAAACCCATCGCCAGTATAAACCCATCCTCTGATAAATCACACGAGGTGATTCGATTGTTCAGTCTGTAGTCTTGAATTTGGTTGAGTTCAATTTGGTCGCCTACTTTTAACTCGAATGTCTAAAATAAATCAAGATTAAAAACTAAAATAATATAGTGTATAAAAATTCAAATAATACAGATGTGAACGTGGTGCTGAATTTTGTTAAGAAGGAAGAAGAATCTTTTGTCTTTAGGAGCATATAAGTTTAATGGGTAATCAAAAATTGATACATTGAATTCTGACTGCGGTAATGAATAATATCAAATGATCGATCAATACTTTCTAAAACCACGAATGAAGTCTCAGTTAAAACTTAAAACAATATCACTTACCGTAAAACCAGTCTTAAAATCGTCGCATATAGCCAGCACATTCTTCTTATACGCAGCACACGTCACATGAGCGTCACTCTGCCTCGGATTCAATATGCAGACCATTTTGTTTGCCTCCTGACTCCAAAGCTTGACCAAGGCGTTGCTTTCCACAGTAATGAAACCCACGTCCCGTATGTAGAAACAGTCTACTAAGCCGCAGACTCCACGTAGGCGACTTTTGCCGTCGTGGTTGAAATACCCTCGGCTTCGAGAAGTCTGGCTTGATTCGCTGCCCGAACTGGACAGGTTGTCCGCTTGGCTGCTTTTTTTCTTTATACCTGAAAGGTTTTATGAATTAGAGCAGATATTTATGTCTTCTATTGCGTGTTCCCGCCGACGGACAGGTACTTTACGGAGTGCTTCTCCTTCAGCGGTAGGGCGCAGTAACGTCAAGGGACCCGCTGAAAATCGGTGTCGAGGCATGCCCCGATTAATGCTGAGCGGGCCCCTATTTGACAGCAGGGCACAATGTTTCTTCTTTTTGTAATTTATGTAAATGTGATGGCGCTCTGTTTGTCAAATAAAACATTTTTTACTTTTTACTTTACTTCTTGTTGGACTATGTATTTTATGCAATTTTGTCATTAGGAATACAAAATGTATTCATAGTTAGTCCTGTATTGAATATATTGAAATGATAGCTTTAAACTTTAAATACCTCTAAGGTTGAGTTGTACCACCTAACTTTGACCGTAACTATTACGATAACCGATGTTATTTTATGGAGTTTGACAGATTTTTGACGTTTGTCAAAGTTAAAGTAAGATGGTGCAACCCAGCCTAAGTATTAGACAGACAATATTCGAGGGAATTTTACTACTTACCCTGTATATCATTAAGTATCTCCTGCGATCCAAGATGCACTTTTTCACACTGCATCATCTCAGTTTGCCAATCACCGTCATTGGTCAACCTGTATGCCATCAGGGAGTTTTTGCTGCCGACTATCAATAATTGCGGGTTGACGAAGTTCAAATATTGCACTGAACTGTACATATTCATTATGTCTTCGGTCTCTTTAGATCTAAGGGCGTATTTCTTCACGATACCAGATCGGAGGCCATATATGACATAGAGATTGCAAGGGGAGATCTTGATCGTGGTGATTTCTTCTTCTGGTTGAGTTATTATTTCTGTGAGCACCTTTCTGCCGCGCATTACCTGGAAACAAAGAAAGATAAATTTTAGCATAAGTTAAAGTGGCTTGATCGGCGTTTCTTCTCAGCACTTGCTATGTTTATCTCAAAGCGCTGATAGGGCCCAAAAGATAATTAAACATGTGAATTGCCCCTTAAGGGCTACCCTATTTAATATTATGGCACTTATGAACGTCAAACAAAAATGTTTGACGTTCATAAGTGCCATAATATTGGTCTAATCTAAACTGTATAAAGCCCGGTCCGTGAGCACGTCGAATTTTGCCACGTGTTTGTTTTCAGGTGAGTGTGCGAGCGCGATAGCAACATAATTACGCGCGAGCGATAAGGATGGGTAGCTTGGGGTCATTGGACAAAATTCTACGTGCTCACGGACCAGACTTTGAAAAAAAATTGATTTTGATCGCGCGCCGTTCTAATCTAAGGCTAGGCACCACTAGTCCTGGAACGACTAACTGGTGCCTTATGAGAGTGGTGGACGTAGCATTTTGCGCCTTATGCACATGCGTGTAGAGATCAATCTTACTTGCATGTTACTCTTGTAATTGACGACAGCTAGCAGAGGCATAGTGGCGCCAGGGCTATTACAAAGCCCGCGCAGGTTGAGTGGCTTGATGCAACGGCGGTCTAGGCTAAGGCTAGGCTCCACCGGCCACCAGTGTTCTAGACCTACTGGTGCCTCTTGGAGTTGGAAGACGTAGCATTTTGCGTCTTATGCATATGCCTATAGAGATCAATCTTACCTGTATATTGCTCTTGTCATCTACTACCGCTAGCAGAGGCATAGTGGCGCCAGGGCTGTTACAAAGTCCGCGTAGATTAAGTGGCTTGATACAACGGCGGTCCAGGCTAAGGCTAGGCACCACCGGCCGCTTGGGGGCGCCAGTGTGCTGAAACGACTGGTGCCGCTTAGGAGTGGTGGAGGCGCTTTGTACGGTGCTGTTTGTGGCTGTGGTACTCGGTGTCTGAGGAGACACCGCGATGTTAAAGCTGACGTCGAATCTCTTTGTGAGGCGGACTTTGCTGTAAAAATAATACAATAACAAAATTTAGGTATACAAAGTATTTTATAAGGTTTAAAATCACGGAGTTAGCCTGCGTGATCAAATTAATAAACCCGAATGACATAGCCCGCAGAATTGATAAACATAAGTGGCAGTGGCCGGGGCACATACACTCGACATCAAATAAATCGCACCTCCCGCGACAAGCAATTTCAAATGTATGCATCCCCACTTCCCACCAATATTGGCACCATTTAAAAACCTAGTTCTAAACTTCATTTTATTAAAGGAAAGGTTTTTACCCCTAAAATGTGTCTTTAGAAGGATCTAGAGTCACTTCTTCAAAAAATAGGTAGCTGTTACGCTTGAGCCAACTTTTATGGCTATAAAACTGTTAAGTTGGGATTAATCGCTATCCATATGTTAAAGAGGAAAAGGCGTCGCGAAAGGTGAGGTTTATTTGATGTTGAGTATAGTTCGTAGAGTTGATGGCCGTAGGGTCAGAAATGTTCTCGAGTGGCGACCGGTAGACTGACCGACTACGCGCAGGCCTGTTCATCTCCGCGAGTTTACATCGAAAACAAAACACGCACGATTGCCCCCTACAAGAGTACTATTCGACAAGGCCTCACATACGAGCGAGCATTGACTCACGCACGCGTATTCTTGTGTATGATGGAAAAAATTTA